AAAAAAAAAAAAAAAAAACTAATTGTGACACTAATAACAATTTTTGTGCCTAATTATTCAGAAAGTTGTCTTAATTTTCTCCATCCTTTAAGCCTTTGCTCCTACTTCACATTATTTACATGTCCTAAAGGCATTTTGGAAAGGGAGAAGGAAGGGTCAAAGTTCTATAAAAGCCAAATGCTTTTATTAATTATTATGTATTAATTATTTTTAGGCAGTCCCAATAAATGAATAATATTTATTCACTTAATATCATTATTATCATAAGTCATCTAGCATTTTCAATCTTATTAATATTAAATGTTGAGGAAAATATTTACATACAGGGTGTCCATAAGTTCATGTGTCTATTTTAAATTACACACAAACTTTAGGGACACCCTGTATAAAAATATTTTTAAGTTGATGGTAATTATTGCTTGATTCCTTTACAATGAGAACACTCACCTATTATTTATGAATTTTTGAAAAGAAACTTTAAAAAATCAACAGCACTAAATCATACCCAGAAACAAAGCTGGAAACGCTGCAATAGTTGAAGAGTGTCACATTCTAGAAATTGAAGCTTCCTGAATTCTGGTTCTGGCATTCTCATAAATTAGGCAGTAACCTCAGGCATTCTTTATTCATTGAGCACTATCCTAGTATCCTAGCCACATGGGTGCTGGCAATGAAGGGAGAGCCCATCCCTGATTCCAAAGATCTCATATTCTAGTTCAGTGATTAAGTAGGAGAAGAGGGCAGAGGATGGAGAAGTCATCAAGAGTCCTTCTTCCAACTACAAATTTCAGAGTGAGCTACCATTACACATGACTCTCATGTCATGTTCCTCCAGTGGGTTTGAACAGAATGGATGAGAACCATTGGTCTACTTGCAGAGACAGAAGCATGGCAGTAATTTCACATGTCACATGGTAAGTGCTGTAATTACAACAGTACAATGAATGAGCACGCAGAGCATCTAAGGAGAAAAATGAGCTACTGACTGGAAAGTCAACAAGCCCTGCCAGGGGATGAAACCCCTCCTTCTGACCCTTGTTTGTCCTCCAGAGCCTTTTCCACTTTCCCCTTTCCAGAGAACCACCACCAAAACGACCACTTGTTGGTAGTCAATATGAACAAACGTAAGGTACCTCCCAGGAGCTTAGAAATCAGTCCAACTGAGAATTCAACTAGTAAAATCTGTGCAAAGGTGGGTAAATGCACAATTGCCGATCTAAGGCCACTTAGAACTCCAGCCAAGGAAAGCTGTGTGTAATCTCAGAGAGTTGGGTCTATAAAATGGTCATTGTCATTTAGTTGCAGGACTTACCCAGCTAATTGTATCCTAAATGGAAAAAGACTTTTGAGGACAGGAAGGAGGGGTCAGCTTAGAATGCAAAATTGATGGCTGAAAAAGACAGAAGCTGGCAGCTTGTATCCAGTACTATCTGTGAGAGGAAATTATGAATTTCCTGTCATTGGAGCAATAGACTAACAGGGCAACCACAAGACCTCACCACCACCTTGAGGAAAGACCTCAAAACCAGAAATCTCCCTTTCTAATCATTCTGATTCTGTAATGCCTTTTCTGACGATTTCATTTAAGCAGAAAGAGGGCCCTGAACAAGAAAGGTGAATGTTCTAGTCATTAGAAAGATTCTCTCTGATTTGTTACAATGTATCTGTCTCTTGAAGGCCTTCCCAAATCTGGGCAATAGGAAATTCCCAAAGATTCTGCTGTGCTCTGGAGGAGAACCATCAACCTTTTCTGCATCCCTAGGTCACCAGCCTTAACTTCTATGCAGCAGCTTTGAATAACTGTTCTCCAAAGAGAGGTCCTAGAAATAGACACTCTCACACTGCTGAGACCTCATCCAAATACAGCACTTAGTGGAGCCCTAGAATCCTCAAACAACACTCTGAGAGTGCCCTGCTGGACTCTGGGCATACACAGTGTTGCCTCTTAGGTAGCCGATGGGTCCTATCTTTAAAGATGTAAACCTAGGAGTAGCTATTGTTTGGAGTAGAGTGGCTAGAAACCAACCCAGACAATTATAGCTGTCTACCAATACGACTACAGCAAAGGACATAGAATGTGGCTGTTCTATTCCCTAGCAATCCTCCATTACATACATACCCCATAGACTGTCCTTTGGCAATTCAGTTCTCACTCTAGGTTGTGCCCCAGATGCTAAGCTTCGTCTCATTTGACTTGTACAAAAATGTACCACTATATGACTTTCCCAAGATTATTCTACTTTAATTCATGTTGATTCCCATTGTGTGCCAGGCACTATCACACATAGTATGGAGTTGGGTTTTTAAAGCCCATCTATCACTGGCCAAGAGAAATGAACAGAACCTTCTCTAAAGAAGACAGATGAATGGCCAACAAACACATCAAAAAATGCTCACATCCCTAATCATCAGAGAAATGCAAACCAAAACCACCCTGAGATATCACCCAGTGAGAACAGCCCACATCATTTAGTCCCAAAGCTGCAGATGCTGATGCAGATGTGGAGAGAAGGGAACACTTTTATGCTGTTGGTGGGACTGCAAGGTAATACAGCCTCTTTAGAAAGAAATAAGGAGAGTCCTCAAAGAACTCCAATTATACCTTCCATTTGATCCTGCAATCCCATTACTGGCCATCTACCCAGAAGAAAAAAAAAATCATTTGATCATAAGAACATTTACACTAGATTGTTTATCGCAGATCAATTTATAATCTCCAAGATGTGGAAACAACTAAAGTGCCCATCAACCCAGGAATGGATTAATAAACTGTGGTATATGTATACCACCGAATACTATGTATCTATAAAAAGATGGAGAGTTTACATCTTTTGTATTAACCTGGATGGAGTTGAACACATTCTTCTTAGTAAAGTATCACAAGAATGGAAAAGTATCCAATGCATGCAATACTAATAAAGCCAGTAGATGAACTAATACACACACACACGCAAGAGAAAAACCCAATTCGATTCAATTTGCAGGGACAGATCAGTGTGCCCCCGCCTAATGGGCACAATGTGTGGGGATATGGCACATCTCCCGGGTGGGAGACACAACTAAAACAGGGACCTTACCTAACAAACGCAAACATTGTAACCTAATTGTTTATACCCTCATATTAATCTAAAATTTAAAAACCCATCTTAACAATACTAAATCTTCCAATCCATGAAAAAATAATAAATAAAAATAAAGAATGGCAAAGAGGGAGGAAATTCTCCAGACAGCACTCTGGACACAAATTCAAGTACCTGTACACTCAGCTCTGAGAGGGAGGAAGCAAGTAGCAACTGCCCAGCCTCACTCAGCCCCTCAGAGTTCCTCCCAGATGAGTAGGATTTGGTTTATCCTTTTACTTTCACTGATCAAGTAGCAGAGTCTTTTGTTCCCATTTTCTTTTAAATGTTCATTTTAGCCTGCAGCAATAATAATGGCCTTGGATTTACAAGCACTTTCTTTTCTTTTCTTTTTTTTTTTTTTTTTTGAGACAGAGCCTCAAGCTGTCCCCCTGGGTAGAGTGCTGTCGCATCACAGCTCACAGCAACCTCCAACTCCTGGGTTCAAGTGAGTCTCCTGCCTCAGCCTCCCAAGTAGCTGGGACCACAGGTGCCCACCATAATGCCTCGCTATTTTTTGGTTGCACCTGTCATATTGTTTGGCAGGCCCAGGCTGGATTCAAACCCACCACCTTAAGTGTATGTGGGTGGTGCCTTAGGCACTTGAGCCACAAGTGCCGAGCCAACACTTTCATATTTATTATTTCCTTAGATGCTTCTCACCATTGAAGTAAATGAGACAGTTATATACATATGTATTTGTATATTTTATATTGTATATTTATTTTTCTATATATTTTAAGTTGAATCATACAAACTTGTTATTTTTGTAAGTCAAAAAAGCAAAATATTGGCAATTTCAGCCTAGTAAGCCTAATAAACCAATAGCATCCCTATTTTTTGGATGAGGATATTGATTACACACACCTTGCCTAGGATGAGATTAAGAGCTATCAGCATTTGACCTGCAGTTTTAAACTCTATAAACTTATTTGGGATGTGGGCTGCCTTCATACAAAGAACACTCTGAGACAATTAGCAGCAAGATTGGCAAAACTTAATCATGATAGAACAGTGAGAGCCCACAAAGTGCTGATTACACTATACCAATTGTATCCTACACTTCTAGAAATCCCTGTAGAATTAGTATTTCTATTTCTACTTTACAGTGGAAATCAAGGCTTAGAGATATGATGTAAACAGTCCAAATAAATTGTTTGTGAGTAGCATAAATGGGATTCAAACCCTTGACTGTCTTATTCCAAAGCCCAGACTCTTTCCACTAAAATTCTGTGCTAGCTGTGAGTGATTTACACTTCCTCAGCTCTCCCACCATGAAATGTCAACGCACACAAGGATGTTCCTCTGTATCTCCTAGGACTGATTTTCTCTAGAGCTTTCTGAAAGACCCATTCTGTTCAGATATTTTCCCTGGTCGCTGTGCTTTCCCCTTCTCACTCAGCATCTTAAAATATTGCCTGCTGAAAGATTAGATTCCCCTTAACTGTTGACAACCAGTTTAAGAAGAAATTCATCTGATGGACCTGACCCATAATTTCACTGAAGAAAACAGAAAAACATCCTTGCAGAGTAGAAATAGATAATTTGAGCTATCAGACTCTTTTAAATTAGTTAGCACTCACCCTCATGTATCCGGAGGTGTCCCACAGATGTCCTGCTGGTTCAGAGGGTTTGCATCTAAGGCAAATCCATCCCCTACAGCACAAGTCAAGACCGGAAGGACAATCTGGACTTAATTTATCCACACAAAGATGTGTGAGTATTTCCATTCTGGTTGTCTGGGGGCTTTTCCTTTGCTTCTAAGCCCAGCCCAAGTCAGAATTGCACTTATGACCGCTTATGCTGGGAAATGGATTGCATTATTGTAACTAAAATTTTTTAAAAATCATGTACTTCTGCTAGACCACTCAACTTTATAGGAAAAGTGTCATCTGAAGCAGCCATAAAAAACAAAAAGAACTTACTAAATTTTAAATTTTTGATTCAGGAAGTTCTTACAAATGTAGTGAAACATGAGAGTTGTGTTTAGCTTGAAATGAAAAATATATCATGTAATTATCTTTACATAAAGAAAAGAGAAAAAGGAAAGAAAATAATGTTAGCTAATTCTGAAAGGGCTTAGAATTCTCAATTATGTCTAAAGGAAAACACACTGAATAGAAAAGCAGGAGCTCTAGCTTGTCCACTAATAATGATAATAATAAATATGAAGAACGCTTCATATTATGTCAGGCACAGTATTAAGAACTGTAAATTAGTTATCTAATTTAATCCACAATTAAGAAGATGTTAATCTTCTAATCTTCTAATGTTACCAATATAACATTGGTAGTATTTTTATTCCTATTTTACAGGCAAGGAAACTGAGGACAAAACAACATGAAACTTACCCAAAGTCAATGGTGGAGCCAGGACTTGAACCAAGGCAGCCTGACTCTTAGTTTCCTATCAATCAAAGGGTTAAATTAGATTATTTATGTATTCAGCAGTACAATGTTGCAGCCTTTTGTCACTGACTGATAAAATCATAAAGAAATAGATAGACTAGGTAAGAGATTATGAAGCAAAAGGAAGGACATCC